TGGGTCTGCAATTGCTCCACGTTCCTTTAGAGCCTCCTTCAGTTTCTCCAATTCTAGCGTCAGGTGTATGTGCCTCTGTGACAAAGGGCTCCAGCCTCTGCAGGACAGCCATACCAGCAAGTTTACAGGCTCTAAGAACTGACACAGGTTTCAGTCTGTCCTTATGGACTCCAGTCCGATTCATGCTTGCTCTCCCTCATCTTACATCCATCTTTTCATCCTGACTGCCTATCCCAGGGACTTTAAGATCCAGTGTATACTGTGAAGACAACAGCCTTACAGAGATTGCTTAACTAGATTTGACAATTATGTAAGGTCGACTCTTTGTAAAAAATCCCTTAATACACTCAGTGGTTCTGCTTCTCTGACTGAATTCTGACTGATACACAGGGTTAATTTGCCACTGTGGCATAGAATATTCTCTTCTGACTAACACAACTGTTCTTTATCAGCTCACTGGAGGTGTCTTATGTAACCCAATAAGTTTAAAAAGGGTTGGGAAAAAACAAATATTGATTTCAATACATGTTTGCCAAATAAATTAATTCATGAAATGTTTTTACTTATGTGCTTTAAATGTATTTACCTAAAAATTGTGGAAGTAAAGATTCAACCCATCTAATATCTATGATTGGCAAACACAGTCTTACCAAACCAGTCAACCAAATTAGGCTCTGTCAGAAAAAAGTCTGGCTTGTTTTTCAGTTCAAATAAATGTGCTAATATGTACTTCATGATAACTACCTTTTTTTCTGGATTCTACAGATAGCTGAATAAGGCACGGAGCCTTGTTATGTGGATAAAATAGGGGGCTGCTGCCCTTAACACTTCTTACCAACACCCTCTTTCCTATGGTTTCACAAGATTCTCCCTCAACAGAATTGCATTCTCTGACGTTAGTTGGAAATGACAAGTCAAAATTTCAGTGCACTATCCCTCTCTATAATGTATCTGAATTCAAAAACCTCGTCATAGGTCAAAATATACCACTTGAAAATGCTACTCTTTACCTTCAACAGCATTCATAAGAAAAGGAAAGAGACAAAGCCCCACCAAGGGTTTATGGTGCCTCGATTAAAAGAGATTTGAGCCCAATATTTTGAATTACCTTTTTTTCTTTTTGGTACCTCTCTTAGTATTTACTGATGTATAACAAATTAGCTCAAATTTAGCAACTTAAAATAAGAAACACTATCTCACACAGTCTCTTGTGGGCCAGGGATGCAGGAATGGCTTAGATGGGTGGTTCTGGCTCAGGGTCTCTCACTAGGTCAAGATGCTGACTGAGGCTATAGTCATCTGAAGGCTTGAGTGGGGCAGGAGGAGCCACTTCCAAAATGGCTCACTCACAGGCCTGGCAAGTAAGTGCTGGGTGTTGGCAGGTGGCCTCAGTTCCTTACCATGTGGACACCTCCAGAGGGTTGCCTGAATGTCCTCATGACATGGCAGCTGGCTTCCCCCAGTGAGTGACCCAAGAGAGGGAGCAAGGAGGAAGCCACAACCTCTTATCATCTAGTCTTGGAAGTGACACACCCTCACATCTGCCATATTCTCTTAAAATTTAATAAAGAGAATTATTAACTAGCAACAAAGTACTAGGTACTAAGGGGTAAAGACAACTCTAAAGAATACAGAAATAGAAGCTATAGGGAGCAGCCACTACCTTTCGTGCTGAAGCAGAGTACCCAAAGAAGCAACAAACTTGAGGAGCCCTCCCAACCTCACCGCCAGGCTGAGATTCAGGCTTCACAGGAGAGAGGGTAGTTACGGCCCATCGGAGGGTGAAGTTTGCTGAGTGCTACAGATTGGGGCTGGCAAGCAGGAAACTGCCTGCTGAGCTGTCACTGAACTCACTGGGAAGCTACCCTCGGGATGTCCCAGCCACCCGTGTGGAAGAGCAGGGGATCCAGTTCTGCAAACCATGTGCTGCTGTGTGCCACAAAGGCAAGGAGGAAAAGAAGGTATACTGGGACCAGGAAGAGGAGGCTCTCCATTCGGCTGTGTTCTTCTAGAGCTCTCTGTTGACAAAGTTAAACACTGCCCCAGCTGGCAGAGGAGAAATATTTACAGGGTCCCACTCCAGTACTTCAAAGCATGGAAAAGAAGGATGGATTTGGAGCTGAGAGGGTATAAATTGATAACAGGCATGCACATGTTCTGCTGCAGAAAAAACAATGTATTTGATTATGAAGTGCTGTCCTAGACCCCACTGGGAGTGTTACATTACAGTACCGTACCCCATCCTGCCTTTGTACAATATAAGCGATTCTGAATTCTGAAACATATCTGGACCTCAGGGTTTCAGTTAAGGGATCACGGACCTGTACCACTTCATTGTTATGATGTCTTGTAAACCCCAGTGCAGAGCTATCTGAAAAACTGAGGGGAAAATATGCCTCAAGGGCTTCTGCCTTTATCTATGACCAAATCTAATCACAAGCTAGCACCAAGTCTGAAGCAAGAAACATACGGAGCACCTGAGTTCTTGTTGGAGAAGAGGAGAGAGCAAAGTGCTAAGCCTTGGTTCATCAGCCTTGGTTGCCTCTCAGCTAGCTTGGTTAAAACTTCTATCACATGCATGACTTCATAATCTCACTGCGCTCCTAGAATCTGACCCAATAATATTAGTACTTTTTCCTCTGAAGGTGGGATATGGTTTTAATAAAAGGACAAAAATCTGGAGTTATCTCCAGTACAGATCCAACGCCAAGGGTTGCAAACTCAAATATCTACATGGTTAGGCACACAACTTAAATGAGGGAAGCACCCATATATGACAAACAGGGAGTGATGGTGACAGAGGAAATCTATCGAGTACATGCTTCGTATAAAGAAGGCAGATGCTATTTAACCCTTGTATATTGTTGCCATTCAGATCCAGTATAGTGAGTTGAATTTTTCATGAGAAGCTGGAAATTCAGATTTTAAAATGTGAAACTGTCACATCTTAAAACGATAAAATAGATGGTGTAGAATGAACATACGTGTTAGGGGGTCATATTCAGCTTGTGACTCTTACCCTAACCACACGTGCTAAGTTCTGTGGCGAGTACTGGGACCTTAGAGGTCTTGGTTGGCTGTTACATTGGTGGCCTCTAATGAACCCTGACTCTCTGTATTCATAACCTTGTCTAGTCCCTTCCTACATTGACTCTGGGCTTGACGATATAACTTGCTTTGGATAATGGGACGTTAACGAGTGTAGTGCAACCAAAGGTTTGACAAGCATTTGCTCACTGAAGCTTGTCCTCTCGAAGCTAGTCGCCATGCAGAAGTTTGCATGATAAGAAGCCAGGTGGAGAAGAGAGGCCTTAGAAGATGAGAAGCTGTTTTGATGAGCTCCCAGCTGACTGGAGTCCCATGAGTAATCTCAGCTTATACTATGTGGGCCCAGCTGAGTCCGGTCAACTCACACAATTGTAAAAAATAATAAACCACTTTTATTTTAAGCTACTAAGTCTTGGGGTGATTTATTATGATGCAATAGGTAACTGAAACAGAGGTCGTTTATTCCAACCCCTTTGTTTTACTAATGAATGTCCCAAGGCCCAGAAAAGGGAAGGGGTCTTGCAAAATTCAGATAGCAAGTCAGTGGTAGTAACTTTCCAATTCTGTGCTCCTCCTTCCTATCACTTCTTTTTCAGTTTCCTTGGTGGAAAGCACTAGATAAGGACAATGAAACTTCAAACTCTACCTGCACAGAACTTACACTGTGTCCTGCATGCATACAAATTACTGTCAGAACTTGGTCCTTGGAAATGGAAAGATTTCTAGGTCATCCAGTTCCCTCAATTTACAGGTGCAGAAAACTCAAAACACTTGAGAAAGGGAAAGCAGCTTCTGACATTTGGAAGCTGGCCTGGCACAATCAGCTGGGCTGTAATGTTACTAGATGACAGCCTGGCCTCTGTGGAACATAATTTCATAGAATACAAACATCAGACGAGGCCATTCGGTGACCGTGATAGATCAAGACAAAAAACAAGACCAATCCTTAATTATATCTGAACACAGATACAACATGAACATTGTCCAAACCACAAAAAATGAGCAAACATCCCCTATGCTGGCTAATGAGGGGCTTCAGCTTCTTTACCAACTACAGTTTCAGTCTCAGTCTAGTGTTCCCTCCTTTCAGGCAAGAATTCTGGAGATGCCCAATCAGAGAATTACCCCCACTTCCTGACAGCATCTAATCCAGAGTAAAGCCTCACTTCCTTAAACCCTCTCCCGGATAACCTCACAACTCTAACTGAGATGCCCCGACGGTTCCTCATGGTGTGTGTCCTCCCTCACTGCAACCCATAACACACCCAGCTTGTTCACCTCTCAGTGTGTCCCTGGCGGTCTTTGGTTAGAGGGCACTGACAGATCTGACCGAGTTCACACAGAGCTGGAGGCAGAATTCACTAGGAGTTCTCCAGGTCTCCAGCTGTGTTCTTCGCTTTTGGTTAATGTCTGTCTTCTCCCTATCAGAATTAAGCTCCGTGAGAACAGAGGCCTTGTCTGTAATGTTTCGAACTGGTACCTGGCAGTGGCTGGAAGTTTAATAAACATTTTCCGAACGAACGAAGAGGGGCTCACTATACACAGGTTCCCTTTCATCGCTCAACTCCTCAGTTCGCGGTGCATATAGACAGAACCACAGTTCACTTCCATAACCCCTCTCCCCAACGAAATCTCCAAACCTCTCGCTCCTGGGGTGCCCAAACTCGCAGAGCCTCCTCCCTTGCCCGAGCTTCTCTGGCTCGCTGGCCCCTCTCACACCTGAGCCCCAAGACCATGCCCTCCTAACGCACCTAGAACCCACCTGTCTCCAACATCTGTCCCTACCACCCGGCGCTCGCGGATCAGCCGCGCCGCTCCCTAAGCGTCATGTGGGGACTGCGGACACCGACCGCGCATGTGCGGAAATCGGTCGCACACGCAGGATCTCTCAGACAAGCGAAGAGTTGCCGCGGAGTTTCCGTCCCGGTCCGGATAGCCTTGGGCTGCCAGGAAGTCAGGAGAAACTAGCCGGAAGGAGAGCCCACTCGCATGGCTTTCTGGGATATGAAGTCATGGCACTTTGGAGGTCCTACCTTGAGGGACCCCTTAATTCTTTAGCTTTGCACGTCCCGCATTCGCAGTCCAGAGCTACTTTCGGCTCAGAATTCAGCTGCGGGCTACCAGGAGAGATTGGCGTAGTGTGCGCTTCCCGTTCCCACAACGCTCTGCGGGGCACGCGGCGCCTGCTGGGAGCTGTAGTCCTCGCTCTGCGTACTGCGTTCGCCGAGGGGGAGGGCGGAGCTGCCGGCGGCCCGGGCGGGCTGGCAGCTAGAGTGGGTGCGAGAGCCGCCTCCGCCTCTGCCGCCTCCGCCGTCGCCTTCTCCGCCCGGGCCGTTCGCTGCTGCGCGGGGAGAGCGAGGCGGGGCCGCCATGGAGCCCGACTCGGTGATTGAGGACAAGACCATCGAGCTCATGGTGAGTGCGGCCCGCTGGACCGTCCGTTCTTCCGTCCGTCCGGCCCGGGGCGGGCCTGCCCACCTCAACGGCCGGCGCAAGGCCGCCTCTGGCCCTTCCCCGCCGCCTCGGCCCCGACCTGGGGCCCCCGCCTTCCCTTGCGTCGGGCCCGGCGCAGTTCCTCCGAATCCCTCGAGATCTCAGGCCAGACCTGGCCCGGCCCCCTCCATGCCCCTCGGTCCTCCCTCCCTGTCCTGTCTCCGGGCCCATCTCTCGAACGACCCTCGCTCGCTTATGCTCTGGCCTTAGCTCACCCTCGTTCTAGCATCTCATTCTCCTTCTTTTAGAAGGGGATTTTTTTTTTTCTCTATTTCTCCATCCCAGGCCTGCCCCGCTCTTGGAAGCCCCACTCAGGCCGAGTGAGATGTTGGTGGGAGGGGGTACGAAGGAGATCGGCCAGGGCCTCGGTCTTCTCGTCCTAGTAGGGGTCTCAGCACCCTCTCCCCAACCCAGGGCTGTGCGGATGCGAGGATAGGCCTGCAGGGATGGAGGTGGGGAGCTCTTGGGTTTGAGGCTGTGACGGATAAGGGGCCTTTTTACCCGGGCCCCTGTGGTGTCCGGCTTCTCGGACAAAGGGTTTCCTTCTCGGCCGAGAGGGATGTTTGCATAGCAGGGCCCCAGGTACTCTGGATTCCATCTCCCAGGAAAGCAAAACCGTAACTTCACGTTTTCCAGAGGTGCTTTGGGAAATTGGGGAAGAAGGGGGAGGGGTGGTCCTCATCACTGCCTCCAGTTCTTTCTTCTTACAAAAACAAACAAACAAAAAGGAGAATCCTAGGCCCCCGGGGAAGCGATCACTCTTCTGTTAGAAACCAGTGGTAGCCGGGCCAGACTCCCTGGCCCCACGGAAACCCCAACCCCCTTCTGCCTTAGGACTTGGAGCCAGAAGGCGTTTTTAGAAACAGGACCATGAGAGGGTGTCTAGTAGAAGCGAAGAATTTGCTACTTGGTGAATGATTTGGTGGAAGAAATAAAATATGGCAGCTATGACCTGCCAATTTGAACATTAGGGAAATCAAACTGGGCTCTGGAGAGTTTGTAGGAGGAAGTCTTTGCCTCAGCAAATGGACATGCCCAAGGTTTCTCCTGTGGAAACCTTGACAGTTTCTTTGTATCTCTCCTGACACAGTAACAACTTCTACTCCAGGGTTGAGAGGAAAGGTGAAAGAATGTACTTAACCCAGCAAAATGTTCTCCTAGCCAGATTTTCTCCAGTGTGAAAATGTTTATTGAGTCAGTGATTCCACTGAGTAGGGTCGGTGACATCAGAGCCACTTCCCTCATTTAACGCCATAAATAATAAATGGTGACACTGAAAGTCTGTTGGATAGCTGCATGGTTTCTGTGGATGATGGTATCTGGGGAGTTGAGATGCATGTTTGAAAAATGGAAGTACAGTACCATAAATACAGAGGCAGCTTAATATTTGCTGTCCTTTGCATAATTCACAGAACTAGACTTCTCCGGCATTCTTGAAAACTAGGGGAAAAAATGCTCCGGTAGTTTCTGATTTGTGTGTCTGTGCCTGCGTGTGTGGTTGCTTTCTAAGGGATACTGTCACTTGTGAGTTTTTGGTTTTCATTTATTAAGTAATTTTTCCTTTTCAGTATAATTTATCAAACTATTATTAAAGTCAAGCCTTGGATATTCTCAAATTTTGTAATGGGTTATTTTAGTAAAATACCTTAACTGAAATGACATAGTACATATTCTTATAGATGTACAATACATGTACTTACACAGGAGGAGTACTTCATATCAAAAAATCGTAACTTGGTACCTCTTTGAAATTGGCTGTTCTGTGCTCCTTCCATTTCCATTCATTTAAAAAATAACTAAAATGTCTTTATTTTCAAAAGAATTAGAAGAAGTACAGTGTACTCCACTTGCTATCTTTGAGTGTATGGTAAAAAAAAAAAACCTGTGGCCTAAATTTACTGACTTCCTATGCTTTTAACTTAAAAAAATTTTGATTTTACATGATTGTGCTTGTCTATGATCTGAAAAGATTTCAAGGGCATCATAAAGTGGGATTCTTAGAAAATTTAACGAAGAGTTTAGTAGTTATCTAGATCAATTTTGAAATGGCTTTTCATATGCAGATTTTGGTATTCCTTCAAAAGGATACCAGTTAAGACTCTTAGGCAACCCTTTTCATGAACATATATGTATTTATTTAGATAGTACAGGTGCTTAACAACTGATTTAGTAAATCTAGCATCAGATGTAGGAGTGATAATGCCTTAAAATCTAATTGTATATGGCTTTTTGTGTTCACTGCATTTTAATTACAGTTTCCAGAACTAGGTTAAAAATATTTTTTACATTGGTTTCAAAATAACGTGATTAAAGGAGGGCAAGGGGTTAAACTGATGGTATTTTGAAGGCCTAAAGCATGAAATATTTTTAGGTTTTTATGAGTCAGCTTCAATACTCAAGTATTTGTGATTGTGCTGCCTGTACCCGTTTGGTACTTAATGGTTAACAGGATAACTTTCATTTGATATTCCAGAGCGGGCTATAAGAAAGAGAGGAAACAGACTTCTTGGGTATCTCCAGTTTCTTAATCTTCATCCTTCTACTTTCTTTGATTTTGATTCTTTCTCATTTGTTTTTTTTCCTCGGACTTTTTTAGTTTACTAGGAAATAAAGCTGGTGATAGCAGAATAATTAAATCTCCAAGATGTAACCCTCCTTGTGACTCCTACCCCTGCCTGAGGCTGGGTCCAGAGTGCTTCTCCAACTGCCCTACTTCATAGGGATTAGTCTTTAATATAGACTATAAACTCTTGATTGAGACAACGGAATTTACAATTGCTGACGGTAATTTAACCACCAAATGACTTTCATGGCCTTGTATTGGCCTAATACTGTACGTAGTTTATGGGACTGTTTTTCAAACTTAGGACTCCGGTGAAATCAGCTTTACTATTAATGAGGTAGAAAAGTAGTAATCCATTTTGGAAATATACAAGATTCGCCAGACTGTGTCTAGTGCTGTGGACTGGAAAGAATGAAAACTGTATTTTATGTATCATATGATATTTCTTAACGCTTGCGTTAGGAATATGAGTTGATGTTCAGGCGCTCATCACTAGAAAGCACTCCAGAGCTGCTGACTGGGAGAAAAATGGTTAGTCCTCCCTGTTAGAAGGTAGCAGAAGTTGATGTTAAAAGTTGAGGAAAGGTAATTTTGCTCCATGTGTGTGAGTGCGCCCACCCCCAGACAATTAATGGGCAGTTTATACTCTATCGTTAGCTGTCAGATGGTTCCCTTCTTTGCTAAGTGACCTTAAGTGAGTCATTTCCCTCCTGTGTTGCCTCTAAATGGCTATGTTACTCATTGAATGTAGTAATTTAGGTAAAATACATTGGACCTTATTAAGAAGGTGTGATATAAATGATATTTTTAGAGCTGTTTGAAGTACAGGCTGGACACAAGGCCAAGGAGATGAGAGAAACTGATGAGTGAAGTTACTGGAAATTTTTCTCTTTTTTTCTCCTTCTTGTCATTGGCTTCTTAAGTGGAGTGAGTGAGTTTGTTTAGTGACTCCTTCAAGAGCTTGGATCTTACTTTGTCACTATCACTTATCCTCATTTACCTCTAGCCGTGTGCTGATTTACCAAAGGCAGATTAAATGGACAAAGGTTTAAGTTGGGTCCAAATGAAATAAACCACATGCATATTTATAGACCTCATTGACCTGCCTCAGGTGGCTGTGGCTCAAATATATCAATTTTTGCCCCGATTTTGGACTAAGTTAGACATCCTTTCAGATTTGACAAGGATAAACATGATCTTGCACACAAGTCTTGGCACTCTTGGCCCTAACTGCTGTACCCTGAAAATGAAGAGAGCCAGCACAGGGGAATCACTGGCCCGTTGCATAGATTCATGGAACATCACATATTTCCCTCTGAGTAGTGCTGTGTGATCCTGGGAATCCTAGAAACAAACTTCAGTGCTGCGAGGTAGCTAGGATCCTGGGTTCCACTTGGTGATATTTACACTTTAAGGGAAAGAAAGCATTTCAAGTCCTAGTAATTCGAATTCCACCCTCCCTTCCAGCTTTTCTTCCCTCATTCCTCACTTGTTCTGTATTCAAGCCAAAGTGTGGAGGACCCTGGTTCTTCACATCTGCTCGCACTGTTTTGTTTGTCAGCAGTGATGTGAGCTGACCTAAGCCCGTGTGTTGAAGGCTGCTGGTGTTCACAGGAGGGACCTAACAGTAGTCGGCTCCTCGGCCAGATTGGCTTAGGTCAGATCTCAGGAATCCTCTCTTCCACCTAGGCTGATGAAGTCCTGTTCCATCAAAACACAATTTAGATGCCACCTCTTTTGATGTCAGTTTATATTTTTGGTGGCAGATACCTCTTTGTTTTTATATCTGTTATACTGCCTATATGATAATCATTGTTAAGTGAAATGAATGAATTCTACCACGTTGTATTTATCTCATGGTCCTTAACGTATTCCGGGCTTGTATTATAGTTTGCTGTTTGTGTCCCCTATGAAATGATCAACTCCTCACGGTGCCTTCTTGCAATTCAACAAATGTTGAGTTGACTTTTCCTCTTCATTGTTGACATACGTTATTGCTGTTTGCCTGTATCTAAACTATCTTCTGGAAATTCTTACCTGTGTCACTGATTCTCATAGTAATTTGTTCCAAACTCTTATGGGACTTATCTTGTGATCATGCCTGAGCTTCTACCCAGCGGCTGTATCTGATTATCCTTTGAATCCTTCACAATGCATAGCACTTGGGTGTGCAACACATAGTTATTGATTTACATTCATGTTAGGTATTTTTTTTTCATACTGTGAAACTTTTTAAGATTTCCTTTTGATAACCTTAAGACAAAGGTGGAAATGAATAGAGGAGAAAGACTGGTAAGAGGGAAGTGGAGGGTGGTGTGTGGCACACAGACATCCATAGACATTTTGACCATTATTTTGA